GTCCAGAGGGGAAGCAGACCAAGGTTTGCTATGCAGGGCTCTTCACACCATCCTCGTTTCTGAAGTTTGTTTAGTGAACGTTTAACTTTATATTTTGCCGTGACAGTCTTACAAAGAATTCAGTGTAGTGACCGATTCACACCTTGAAATGTCACAGTAACTCTTCTTCAGCTTTGCACCACTTGGGGCTCTCCTCTATCTAAATAATAAAGCCCCCAAAGCAGTGCTTGGCTTGAGCCTGATTCGCTTCCATGCTAAGCATGGAGATCCACAATGTGCCCTGCTGTGCTATCACAGACAACTCAACAGACATAAGGCAGCTTGCATTAAGCATCCGTACATTAGAAATGAGTAATTAAAGACAAGCCAGCTCATAGGGTAATGGCTGCACATCTCTGGCATGGAAAAAGCACCAAATCTTGCCCAACACACTTGTTCAGTCACTGACAACAGGCCATTGTTTTTTCTAAGTGTGTTGTTGACTACCAGAGGAGATATTGAAAGCACAAGTGATTTGCAAAGTATGGTACCACATACTCAGTTCATTCTTGAATCATAGATTGGCCTGGGTTGAAAAGGACCGCAATGATCATCCAGTTCCAACCCCCTGCTGTGTGCAGGTCACCAACCAGCAGCCCAGGCTGCCCAGAGCCACATCCAGCCTGGCCTTGAATGCCTGCAGGGATGGGGCATCCACAGCCTCCTTGGGCAACCTGTTCCAGTGCCTCACCATGTTTGTTTCAGATCTAAGTCAGGAAGTGCCTGTTGGTCCTCCAGAGCTGCATGCTGCAGCACAAAGCAGGAAATGGAACTCCTTCCCTTGAAATATCACTGAAAGGAGGTTTTGTGGCCAGCAAATGCAAAGTCCTTTGGAGACTTTGAGGGCTGGCTGGTCGCTGCCTTTCTTTATCAAAGGGACTGACTGAAACCTCATTCTTTGTAGCAGTGTGTTGGCACTGGATGCTGAGGGAATATAAGAAGTTGGTGATTGAGGGTCCCTCTGAGGGATGCTGCAGTGCTCCTCTCTAAACAAAGAGCTATTTCAGCAATGTAAGATGACACTTTGCTTCCTGCCACTGAAAAGGAACTTTCATTGCAAAAACTACCTGAGCTCGATGTCGTGAGATTACTGCCTTGTACTCGGTGTACCAGAAAAGAAACCCAACAGAACTAGGAAGGATGCATCCTTGCCCAAGTTGCAGCAAATAGCTCCAGGAGCCCAGAGCTGGTAGCAGGAAATGTGTGGGAATGCCATCTGGTAAAGCTCCTTAGAAACAGTGTGAAAGTCTTTTTTTTTTCATTCACTTCCTGACAAAGTAGTAATATGTTGCCTCAATATAGGCAAAGGTTGCTGTTGCTATTTATATTAGTAGCTCCTGGAAGCCCTGAGGTGGGAACAGCACTCTTGCTGTGGTTGCTGCTGTGGGTGCATGTAAGAGGAAGGCTTTCACTACGTGGCTTCCCATCTCCATTCTCCCCCTTTACTTTATGACTTAAAAGGATAAGGATTTTATTTCTTTCTTCCAAATGGGGAACTGAAACAGATGGGAGAGACTGGAGAAGTTGGATACAAAACAATTTCCAAGGCATGGCTTTCTTGGTGGAGCTGTGCTTTGCCTCCTTTACTCTGAGTGTCGATGGTGAGCTGTATGTACCTTGGTGTGTGTGCTCTGCAGCTCTCCCAGGTGAAAATCAGCATCTTGTTTGGCATGGGCACTGCTGAGAAGTACTACCTGCTCTGCTATGCTGAAGCAGGGGGAGGGAAATCCAATCATGCAGAAGGGATTGCAATCACCACATAGAAAATTAAAAAATAAGGTTACTGTGAAGATCTTGAACTTGATCTTCGGCATCTGAGTCGTGTCTTTCACTATGAGCTCCCAGCCTTACCTCATTTCCATATTGTTCAATGCTGTTAGAATCTGGCTGGTATCTCTGTTCAGTGTGGTTCTTTGCTTCTAACAGAAGGCTGTATTGCAAGAAGAGGCAAAGTTCCTTATAGCTACTTACTGTTATTAGGTATGTAAAGTTTTCTCCTGTATCATCATCTCATCTGAAGACCTCAAGTCATTTTACAGACCTGATTGTAGCCTCTTGGCAACTCTAAGGCAAGACAGTTATTCCCAGTTCTAGAGACTGCAACAGTCTCTAAATCCCCAATGCTGAGTTTTCCTTGCCAGTCTGTGCCAGCATCAAGGATGGATTTTCCAGTCCCATGCTTTAATTGCAAGTCAGAGCTTTCTAGGTCCCTTTGCTATCTGAGTGTGGGAGTGTGTGCTCAATTGGTTAGCATTTGTGCCAGGTTCATACTGGAAAAAAGCATGTGGTTGAGTTGGCCCTTCATCTCTGGGAAAGGTAGCATGAATTAAAAAAAAGAACTAAGGCTTAATTAGTAAAAGAGTATGACAGCAGGAAGGAGGAGGGCTAGGAATTAGTGGATGCTGCCTGGCTCTAAGGTGGAAGGGGTAGAAGCTTGGAACCCCCCAAAGAAGCAAGCTGGACGATGCGGGCTGGTAGGTTGTGAGGCTGAGACCATTACTTGATGTACAGAGCCTGGTGCCTTTCTCAGGGAGAAGCTCAAGAATTGTGAAACTGGGCCATGAGGTGTTAATTGCTAATCTGTAGAAATTAAATTTTAAAGAGCCAGTGTCTGTTTAGCATAGAATGACTCATATCAGAGAGCAACATTTCTTTGTCCTCCTGTGAGTGAAACCTCCAGTAGGGGACTCAGTGACAGATGGGGGTAGAGCTGAGGCTCTGAATGAAGCTTTAATTGTCTTATCACTGATTTTTCTCAGTGTACTCCTCCCAGACAGAGCATTGTGACAAAAAATGCAGAGCTGGGGACACAGAGGCTATCAGAAGCTGTAACTGCCCACCTTTGCAGGATTTTTTCTCTGCTGGTGATCAATCAGTTTGTGATCTCTAGAGAGACCCCAGCCTATAGCAATACAACTGTAGGCAAGTGTGTCTATGTAGCTGCATCTGTTTATTGCACTAACGGGCCAGAATGATGTGGGTGACCAGGGCTTAGGCACTACTGCTGCCTCAAACACTGCATATAAAACCACTTCAGAGCAAGAGAACTAGAAATTCTGAACTGCAAACACGGCGTAACAAGTATGCAGTAATCAAGGGCTGAGATATTTAAAAGCCTCTACCAAAGCCTTGGCTGAGCAACAAACCACTCCTGACCTGGCTTTGGTTTGCTTATGTTCTCATGACTCCAGGAAAGCTGTTTGCACACCTACCATGTCCTCAGCTATATCTGAGTTACTGGCAAGTCTTAACCAGGTGACAAAGCCATTGAGCAGTGAATCTTGGCCAGGAAGCCTCAGCAAGAGTAAGCTGCTTCCACTGCTCGTCTGAGCATCGCAGAACATCTGGTCCCCTACACAAAGCTGGGGGCAGGAGGGGGCTGAAGCAGCAAGGTTAGTACCAAGGAACCATTTTTTTTCCTGAGATGGGATAATTCTGAAGTGAGAGGATTATTTCTGGCAGTAATTGGGAGTGGAGGCAACAAAACCCATGTATTGACACTGCTGGTAGACCTAACTTGCTGGCTTCTTTGCACAAGGCTTTACTGAGCAGCTGGGCTGTGAGAGGCTCCTGCAGCACAAGTGTTAACTGAGGATAATCCCATCCAGTTTAAAGCCCAAAGCAAGCTGTTTGGTTTTCCTTTCCTACCTTCTAGACTGTCTTCATTACCTACTTACACTGGGACCACGACAGATCTGGTATCTCCTAGCCAGCAAAGCAAATCATGCATTCACAGAAAATCCCTGAGGACCACTAAATCTAACGACAGCCAAATCTTTGGCCTTAGGTGATAAATCTGACATCACACAGGAAATCTGCGATAGAACCTCTTATCTGCATTGTATGTGAGATGCTCTGCCCAGAGAAGAGGTAGGAGATCTTCTCTACTCATCTGTTACACCTGGGAGATACTGTTTTAAAAACAGTGGTAAATTTAGCAGCTCTCCTAAGCTAAGGAAGGGTGTTTTATTCCTATTTTTTTTTTAAACACCAATTAATCTACAGACTAAGTGACTTCCTTAGCACTTAACAGGAAAACCTGTAGCAGAATGAGGAATGATTTTTTTTTTTCAACTTCCAGTATAAAATATTTTACTGAAGACCTCTTCCAGAGGCACAGGAAAACAGCACACCCAGATTGAGCAGGGACAAGTGAAAAGGCCTTTATTCTTGGCCCATTTCAGTCTTCTGTCCTAGTGTTGCAATTGAACTATTGACCCAACCCCTTAAACCATATCTTTACCAGCTCCGGAGACCTACCTCTGAGTGAACCTGGTCTGAAATACACTCTTACCCTTAAGTGGATCTCTTCAGCACGAGTTTTGGTGCACGTTTTTGTTCTATTCTATTTTGGGGATGTGCAACTGGTGAGGAAATGCTTTCCTCTGCTAGAGTAACAGTGTTCCCGAGCAGTTAAGATTATGATCTGTACTGTCCAGTGGGAAGAAGAAGACAAGATTCTTAATTCTAGAAGACAGGTCAGCATCTAGGGGAGGAGGCAGCAACTGTTAAGTATTTTGCTGTCAGGATGAAACCTGTGCTGGAAAGAGTCAGTCAATTAGGCTGATTTGCAGCAGCCTTACTCCAAATCCTCTTTCACTCAGAGGCTGAGCCCTTTGCTGAAACATGCCATCCCAAGGAACTTCAGTAGGTTCTCAGACATTTACACATCACAAAATTATTTGCAGGGACAAACCATTGTGGAGCAGTATGGTGCATTCAGTTTAATAGCTTTACAGTCAATGGACATAGACTATATATGAGGGTCAGCAAAGAGCCTTGCAGCTCTCTGGCCCTGCCCCAGATGTGCTTTTTTCTTGCATTTCACGTTTGCTCAGCCTATTCGTAAACGAAGACCAGATTTGCCAAATCAGATCGAGATACAAAGAGCTGAGAAAGGTACCTGTGTGTTAAATGACCACAACCCACACAGCACAACGTTTATGCCAACGCTCACTCACCCTGCTGAGCTGGTCCAGGAGTCTTTGGTTCTGTTCAGAGAGTTCCTGGACAGCCCGTGTCTTCTCACGGTCGGCTTCCCGCAGGTGAACCTGCTGCCTCTCCAGCTCATCCTGCAGCTGCTTCACATCGCTTTCCAGTTCAGACACCCTTCCTTCCCATTCTCCTTCCTTGTTCTCAAACCGCCTCCGCAGTTCGTGCTTCTCTTGTTCCAGGTGCTGTAGGTAACAGGGAGGGGGAGAAGAGGTTAGGGAGGGAGGAAAAAAGTGAGAGCTGCCTCCTCCTGTGCTCCTTCATGCTCAGCACTGAGTGCTTCAGTGCAGGAAGGAGAGTGGTAGTAGAGCACGGCGGTGCATGGAGGTGGCAGTCCCACCCATGTCAGGGCAGGTCACAGCACTAAGCTTGCTTCTTGTTTCCAGCAGTTGGCCTTTCCTTGGCCTCTCTGCATCAGCACATTGAATTTTTACTGAAAGAACTGCCAAATGAGTAATGCAGGCTGCATGGCAATAGGTGGAAAATATAGGTCAGGCAGGCCAATCGATGGGCAGAGCCAAGCTAATTCCAGAGCAGGAATTATTATTAATTTCAGTGGGCAGTGGCAGAATTCTTTTAAAAGTTGCCTTTATAGTAAAAGTTACACAAATTGTACCTTTAGTGCTGATGAGGAAGCTAGATGAGGCATCTTTCTTGTCATATGGGTCTTATGAACAACAGTTGAATCATCTATCCATTTGCTCCTTCTATTCCCGACCTAATTAGTTGCCTGGTGATTTGATAGTCCACAGTAACTCCATTGTTTGATGCAGTCCCCTCTGGGGTGGCAGTGAAGGCACTGAAGTAGTTTCTCTAGATGTGACATGTGCACATTCCAGGCTGCAAATCTTTCAGAAACCACTCTCAGTTCTGGAAACTGCTCTGCTTAGGACTGGTTGCAAAACAAGGGACAGCGTGAATCTGGTGGAACTTTCAGATGCCTTATAGGCTCAGTTAAATGAGGGCTTGACTGATACAGAGCTGCAAATTAGGTCAAAATAGATTTGTTGTGCCCGTTTGAAAGAATCTCTGCTCTGAAAATCTGAGCTCGGATTTCCCTTGGTGCCTGACACCACGTGTGTGCTTGTAGAGCAGTCGCAGGCTGGGACGTGGCCGCGTCCTGAGATCAGAAGGGAAACCTGAAGAGCAGGAGCCCTCTCCTTGCTGTTCGTTTTCTGTCCCCCACAATAACCTGCTGCTACTCTCTACTGGATTCACAGCCTTTTAGGAACATGTCTCAGAAAGAACAGAAAGCCACTGGGCCCAGCACTGGCAGCATTTTTCCCAGGTTATCATCCCCCAGTGAGCAATCCCCTATGACGCTTATGTTAGGAAGGGAAAATAAACCTGCTAGGAGGGAAAGAAAATTGCACTGCATCTGTGTGAAGTGGCATTTTATTGCTTGTTAGGAACACAGGCTGTGAGGTGGCTGTTTCCCCTGGGTGCCCAGTGCTGATGACACACAGCTTGCCTTGCAGGGTCTTTGTCACCTTCCTGGGCAGCAGTGAATGTCAGAGCTCTGCACTTCCCCAGCAGCCTCTGGCCTGTGTTATCACTAACATTTCACCCCTCTTGCTCTGCAGAAGATGCTGTATTGTCTCCTTGATCTTATCCCTAAATCTTCTATGCACTCTTCAGCACAATGTAGCAATGCCCTGCTTGTAACCCTCCCAAATCCTTCTGCAAATCCAGGACTTTCTGGAAAACCCTCAGATGCAAGGGGTAAAAACAAAGCCAAGTGTTTTCCTGTGTTGCCAGATGCTGAAGGAATGAGTACCCCTTGCAAATACTCAGCATTACAATCATCATTTTGAATGCACTAAGTGGGAGATCCTAATGCAAGGCCCGTGACAACTAAGGGTGGCTGGAGCAGCCACAATTCCGCTTTCAGCAGCGCACTAAAAACGCTGTATTTCACAGCTCTGCCTCTCTCACTGCTAGGCAACGTTGAGAAAGATCCAGGTCCTTCTCTAAATGGAAGGTGAAACTTCAGCCTGCCAAGGAGCAGCAGTGCAGCTGAAGTTCCTTAGCACACACAGACATCCCACGTGTGATTTAGAAGCCACCAACGAGCCTTGCTGGTCATTCACAAACCACTTCAGTGCCTTGGTGCAAAGGAAAACCCGTGCCATGCATAGTGTCCTGCTCCTGCACTCACAGAACCATTGATCCACCAAGGTTGGAGAAGACCTCCAAGATCATCCAATCTGCCTACCACCAATATAAGCCCACTAAACCATGTCCTTTAGCACCACATCTAAGCATTTCTTCAACACCTCCAGGGACAGAGACCCCTGGGCAGCCCATTCCAGTGCCTGACCGCTCTTTTGGAGAAGATATTTTTCCTAACATTCAGCCTCAAAAAGCTGAGACGAGACAAACATCTCTGTACCAACAGAACAAGATATGAAATGCCTCAACCACTTGAGGAGGATAAAACTGGGATCAAAGATCAGTTTATTACAGTTGTATGTTTAGACATGAACTCAAACTCAGAGTTTTAATTGAAATCAGAGGAGAGGCGGGTGGTGGGAACGCTGAGCTTCAGTGCCACACCTGCAAAACCAGAACGTATTTGGCCAGCAGCTGTCTCTGCCCTATGTGTGCACTGCCCCAGGTAACAAAGCTGACCTAGGAACAAGAGATGTTTCTCACCAGTGTGATGACAACACTGCAAAACCAGTCTTGAGGCAAAGCATCAGAAGAGCAGCACGTTGGCTGCTGGGAAATGGAGAGGTTCCCATAACCAACTTGGGGGGGAAATCTCTCCTCTTGAATGCTGCTCATACATCACTATGGCAGTGCAGCTGTCACCAAGGATTTCATTTGAGACTTTGCTTCTGGTCATCAGAGAGCTCTCAGTGTAGGGAAGGAGGTTAAGGGATGTGAGTCCTTCCTTCCCATTCCTCCAAGAAGGAAAAGCTTACTGTGAAATTCACTTCAGTGGCAACAAGAAGACGCTATCTTTTAATCTAAACAAGGATTGCAGTGTTGTAGAATATTGCTGTTCAGGTTTGTGTGGGTCAAGGATCACAGATTCAGATCTGATAAACCCAGCAGACAAAAAATCCCTTAAGCAGGGAACTTCTATCAGATGCATCACCTGAAAAAACAGAACCTGTCATTCAACTGGAAAGTTGGAGCAATAGCAAAGGGATGAAAAATGCAAACAATTGGCAGAATTTCTCATCCTTTCCTTCACCTCCTAAATGGATCCATAAAAGTGGAGGTAAACATTTGGGGAATGTTATTTAAGCACTGTAAAGCCCGAGTTTTTTCTCCTCTCCTTTTCACCTTTACATTCTGCAGATAGTTGTGTCTGAGACCCCCAAACTCACAAAGGGGCAGCCCAGGAAGTGCCTCACGTTGTGCATTTCTCTTGGACGATAGGAAAGGTTTTACTCCAACTCATGGGGAATCCACGTCAGCACAATGCCACAGACGTCTGCTCTTGCTTAAAGACCAACCCGAAAACATTCACTCCAGCAAATCGTCACAGTCTGAGAAATTCTGGTCTGACAAACAGCTCTGCTAAGTCACAATTCGGGCAAATGTCACCTTCAGTATTGCTTCTAACTGAACAGCAAAGAGAAAGGGAGCAGCTATGGTGAAGTGCTGAGTTTAAACAACAGGGAGGAATTTCTCCTTTTGGGAAGAAAGAGGTCTGAGAACAAAGGCTGTGCAGTAATGTCATGAATCTGACAGTACTCGAGGGGTGTAAATCCGTGAGGAATGAACACGGGAATATGTAGGAATGCACAAAGAATTGGCCTAGGGCTGTTACTTGAAATTTGGGTGTTAACTGAGCATTGTTCAGACTCTCTCCAGGAAGGTGAGAAGCTGTGCGGCAACTGGGAGCTCTGCTGCTCGCTCAGAGAAGGAACATTGCAAGAATATCTCTAAAACGAAGATAGTTGTACACTGTCGTGCGAGAGAGTTGTTCTGAAGGAAGCTGCCTACACGACTCTTATTCTTTGTAATAACTCCATCTCAATCTTAAAAATCAATGCATAGCTCAACCCACGAGGCCCCCGGCAAACGGCTCTGAGATACCTGTAGGTATTTTTCAGAGCAACCAGCAAGCAGAAACCTATCAGCGGGGCTTATCTCTTGCCACGCTAATGCCTCAGCTGCAACAGCTTCAGCAGAAAGGTTCCAAATGCCCCGTGCCTCGGTTTCAACGTAACTTACGAGGCATTTCTGCACGGTGCGCGTCTCCCCGCCCGGCTGGGACGTGGGGCAGAGCGGCAACCCGGGGCCTCCCGAACGAGGCTCGCAGCCCCTCCTCGGGCCCGCACGGCAGCCGGGGAGCGGGGACGGCAGCACTCCAGGCCTAGGAGGGGAGTTTCGACCCTTTCTTCTCTATCGCGGCCGCGCCCGGGTTGATCGGGGAAGGGGAGCGAACCCGTGGCTCCCGGGGAACGCGGCCCCGTGCGGGGGCCCTGCGGAGCGCTGCGGGCCGGCCTCACCTCCAGCTTGTCGGTGAGCTCCTTGTGCATCCTCTCGTACTGGCGGCTCATGTCCTGGTTGCGCTCGAGCAGCGCCTTGCCCAGCCGCGCCGCCAGCACCAGGTCCTTCTCCTTCTGCCGGATCAGCGACAGCAGCTCGGGGTCGCGGGCGGCGGCGGCGGGCGGCGGTTCCGGCGGTTCCCCGGCGGCGGCCAGCAGCGCCAGCTCCTCCTCCAGGGCCAGCTCCAGGGCGGCGGCCCCGGCGGCGGCGGCGGCGGCGGCGGGCGGCTCCATGCCGCCGGCGCTGTCCGCCTCCGCCGGTGCTGACCCGGCGGCGGGCAGGCGCGGGCACGGCGCCGACATGGCCCTGCGCGCCGCCGCCGCCGCTCCGCTGCGCCCCCCGCGCCCGGCCCGCGGCTGCGGCTGCTGGGCGGGGAGCGCCGCCGCCCCCGGCCCCCGCCCCCCGGCGCCGCGCCCCGCGTTCGGCGCCCCGGCCCGGCCCCGCGGACGCGGCGCGGCGGTGGCTGCCGACGGCCGGAGCGCTGCGCGCGTCTGTGCCGGGCGCGCGTCTCCCCGTCCCCGCTGCGCCCGCCTGCCGCGATCGGCTCTGGCCCGTTGCGCCGCAGGCCCGGGACAAAAATCCCCCCGAAATGCTGGGCTGGCGTGAAAGGCCCAAGGAGGGAGCAGGGCACTCTGACGGGGCATAGCGCTTCGTTCTTGCTGACTGCCTTCTCCTCCAGAGCCCGGCTGGGCTCTGCTGGGGAGGAGGGCGGCTCTCAATACCTTTTTACTCCGTAGTTCGCACCTGGAGAGCTGACTACAACTTCCAGCAGCCACTGGGGCTTGCTTTCGTTTTCTGATTGTTTTGGATGTTCCCGGATAACGTTTGTCTTAACAGCGGCTTCAGTGAATGTTGGGAGTTGTAGTCAATTTCCTCATGGCACTTCTGTCTCTGGGAAGAGCCTTTACCAGGGGCAGGATTTCCAGGTGATCACAGTCCGTGGAATTGCTTCTTTCTTTATTATTATTATTATTTATTTATTTGGCTTTATGCCCCTTTTGATCAGGACGCAGTGCAGCAGGGTGTGCCATCACATCAGCTCAGATGGTGCTTCCTCGCTTTCTCATGGTGCTTTAATTTCAAAGCGACTGATACAGAAGCATTTTAAACAAAACTTGTGCTTTGGACTTCCAGAAGCCTGCAGAAATAAACGTCGGATTTATAGCTTTCATCTCTAGACTCTGCTTCCATGGAGTTTGTTCTCCACAGACAGCTCAATTAAACTGTGTATAACCCTGTGCAGCTGCCCCAGCACATCAGACCCCAGCAGCTTTTTGGCTGGGACAGCTGATGGCTGATGCAGCTTTCTGGCATGGCTGGCTGCTGCCCTGTGACAGAGCCTAGGCACCAAAGAGCTGCTGATTATTCACAACGGTCAGAACATGAATTGTGGCAATGCACATTTCTCTCCGGCCATCTGGTGTGGCTTTTGTTGGGGATGTGCTCCAGGAACCCAACCCAGCTAGGAGGGCTTGTTGATAGGTGGCCCCTGTCCTGGCAGTGATGTTTTTGTGATACAAACACCTGCTCTACTGAAACTCATTGGAGATGCAGTGCCTCGTGCCATGCTCCTGCCAGCACCCGTCCTGCAGTGGCAACTGTTGACCATTAGGACCCTGATTTCTTTTGCACTGGTGACCCAGAAGCGATTCCTCCTTTATCTCCTACCAATTCCCCAGGCACCAATTTTTCCAGGCCTTTTGTCCTTGCAATCAGCTGGGGTCTATGTGGCCAAAAAAGTGGGATTTGCCATAAGGGGAGATGGCTCCAACAGCACTGCTGCTTTTACAAGAAGCCTCTGCCCTGATGCAGGAACCAGGCTGTCACAGATTTGTTCATCACTGTTTAGACAGAGGAGGGAGATTAATGATTAAACTGATTGTGAGCACCTTCTGCTGGAAGTGCCTACTACAGCAAACCAAGCCTGGTGTGATTAATGAAATCCATTGTGGCCACAGTGTTCATCTCTAATTCTTCTTTCGGTGTATAAAACGAAAAGAGATTAGATTGAGATGATTTTAATCCCTCAAACAAAGCCTGAAACAAACCCCAGAGCTGCATCTGTTTGGATGGGGAGGGGAAAATGCTATTGCTTGATGGAGGAGATGTAAATCAGTGCTATGTTTTGCACATATGGCACTGCGTCTCTGTCCATAGGCACCTGATTGCTGCTGCTGCTTCTCTTCCCCTAGATGGGCTCAGATGCGTCCTTGGAGAACCACAGCCAACAACAACAAAAAGGGCTGATGATTACACAGACCCTTTGAGAGAACTCATCAGGATGGACTGATTCAAGCACGCAGAGAATTGAGATAAAGTGGTGTGATCACATCACAAGTATGCATGGCATCTCATCCAGGACGTATGCTTTCATGGTGGCATTGGGAAATGAGGGTGAAAATAACATATTCATATAAGAGAGTGGTGTAAGATTGTTTATAGGAGAAGTAATCTTTGTTTTCCTGCTCAGGTGAGAAACTGTAGAAGAGGAGCAAGTAGCAAAAGTTAGTCTGACTTGGACAGGGATAAGGGACGTGTATGGGAACTGTTGAGTCCTGGCCTGAAGCACTGATGGAGCAGCTGGGAAAAGGACCTGGTCAGCTCTGGGAGCACAGGTGAAGGCAATTCAGCTGTGTGATAGGAAGGGATGGAGGCTGGCTGCACCTCTCTTAGACCTCATTTAAGGGCTGGCTGCCACTGGGTCAGGTTCTGTGGTTGGAGATCTCTCCCTTGTGGTGTTTTCCCTGTGAACCTGGATCTTTGGAGATGGGTGAGCACCTTTCCATTCACACTGTCCCTTTGTTATTACACCTCCTGTGCTGCTGTTCTCTGTGTTGGTCTTTCTGATTGCTACAGGACAGCACTTTATTCTTCAGTAGTTTTCCCTTCCTGTTTTTCCCCATCTTGTGATAACCCAGCTCAGAAAATAAGCCATGGGAAGGCTGGAGAACTCATCTAAAGGAGCCACTCAGGGCAATTTGCTCTGTTGGATGGTTTCTGAAAGGATTGAGATACTGAAACAGGCAATCCAATTTAAGCAGCAGATAGAGCTGTGTGTGTTGTCCTCCCCAGAGGGTCAAGGAGAGGTGAGCTCAAAGCTGCGCAGGCTCTTCAAGCCCAGTGTCAAGTGCACTGTTAGAAGTGGTGCTTTGAAATGAACGCTGCCTTCCAGGGATTCCACTGTTGGGTCTCTTCACAAAGGAGGTGTAACAGAGGGTCTGGATCTCTCATGGTCACACCAGTTAATGCTGGCATGCACTGAACTGCGCGGTGCGGGTGAAGCAGGACAGATCATTTTGAGCACATCTGAATGGCTGCAAATCCAATAAAGACCTGAGTGCTTCCACTTGGGCTGGGAGGGCAGCAGGCAGAAATGGAGTGCTGCAGGCAATCATCCTTTCTTATTTAGAGGAAGGAGACTGAGAGACATGTTACAGGAAAGCAGGCTGCTGTCCTATGCTTTTACAGCTCTCTGTGACGGCAGAGGAATTTCCATTAGCATCTTTAGTCTTCCTGCTGGGGGCTGACAGTTTTGCAGGGAGGACGGCACACGTTCTAAGGTTTACTTTGCCATTCTCTCTCATATCTGAGTGATTAATTTCTTGGTGTTGTTTTTTTCTCTCTTTGCTTTGCTGTGCTTTCTGACAAAGGTTTGAAGTTATTTTCGTGTTCTACATCCATGCATGCTGAGGTGTCTTCCATGTTGCTCAACCTCCTGCTGCTGTCAGATGGGCAGCAAGAGGCTCAGGCAGATGAGGAGAGTTTGCTCAGAGGTTGCAGTTGCCCAGATGAATAATTGAAAGCGATACGTGTCTTGCTTTCAAAGCAGGTCAGAACTGCAAAGCCAGAGATAGCACTCCTGTGCGACCTTTCTTCCTCTTTGCTTCCCTAACATCCAAAGCTATGTGGTCTGTATGTGCCCAGGTTCTCCTCAGTGCCAGGGATGGGAAATACAAGATGGGAAAGTGATTGGTGGGGATTGGCAAGGGGGAAGAGGATGGAAATTTCTGGTTTAACGGAAGGGAGGAGGAAGCTGTTATGGGTGTTAGCCATGTTACACCATCCTGATTCTTCCCAAGATGCCAGGTCCCCAAAGAGTTCCCAGCAAGCTTGTTTCCCATGGTTATCAACATAACATCATTAAGAGCAGAAAAAACACTGACACCAAAGTGACTCATAACGCTGAAGTTGGAAGAAAAAAATCTTGATTGCTTAAGGGTACAAAAACATGGCCTGAGTGACTCAGTACTGCCTAAGGACAGAGCTGACACCTGGCTGTGCTCACTCCACTGCCAAGCTGTGAGGAACAAGGGATGCAAAGGGAAAAGAATAGGATAATGGATTGAACTTGTTACATGGCACATACGAGCATCGTGCCAAGGCATCTGTGAGTTAGGGATATAAATATATCTTGCTGTAGCTTTTAGTCACTGTTTCAGGTGTGCAGTTTGGAAGAATGCCATAGCCATCTCTCCAGACCAAAGCGCACACATAGAACTATTCTGGAATTTGTGGAGTCATGCAGCCAATACTTCAGGCCAACTTGAATTGCTAGGGGTAACAGTCTGGCAGTTTGACTTGGTTTTGCTCCTGGTCCCCATGGGCCAGGTGATGTATGTGCCACTTTGCACCTAGGATCCTTCTTGACTTAGCTTCATCTCACTGAGGAGGAAAAAAACTCTTGTGGCAGATGGGGAAAGTTTGCTCCAGGCAGACTCTGGACATAGAGTCCAAGGTGAACACTCAAGTTCTTGTTTGCATTTCTTCATAGGCATCCATTAGGTCCTAACATTGCCTTCAGTGGTGTTGGCCACCATACTGTTTTGCACCCATTAAATTATTAGGTGTGACTTCATGCTTTGTGGGGGAAAAAATATTTGTTTAGGACCATCTTGTTTTGGTTCTCATGTATATGCTATAATTTGCAGTGATTCATAAAAGAATGATGATCTTTGATCATTAGACTGTAATTGAGCGTGTTGACATGGAGTGATCTTGGTTGTAACACAGGCTTCTCACTCACTGTGGTGGTCACTCGTGTCATGACAACAGCAGCTCTACCAGGTATTTGTGTTTCATTGAACAATATGTTGTTATGGAAACTGGTGTTCTGTAAATTATCTGAAGAGAGGCCCGATTCATTTCTTGGGAACAAGAAGTTTGTAAGAAAATGTAGAAGATCTATGGGTCATTAGCTACTTGATGTCAACGGCAGTGCCAGAGCATCTTGTGCAAGATGTGACCAGTTGACCTTCACAGCAAATGTGTGCTGGTGGATGTGCCCAGCAGGAGCTGAGCTGGTTCCCATGCACATTCATGTGGCCCTTGCCAGGTGTGGAGAGCGCAAAGTGCCATCTGCAGGGCTCACGAGCTCTTAACGCTTTGCCCTGGCTTTGCTGTGGCAGGAAGGATGTGTCCTTTGGGCTTTGATGTTGAACTGTGGAGAGTGGAGACTGAGAGACATGGATAATGTGATCTGAGAACCTTTTGCTCCTGTTCAGTCGCTTACCCTTTTCAGGCAGATTGCGTATGCTGGTTTCTTACCTTAAAGTAAAGGAATGAGCAGCCTTGAGGGACTTTTGCTTTGGGGTATTTTGCCCAAAGAAACCTACCTTTCTGTCTGGATCCTCTTATTCACTAAATCCAAGCATGGAACTTCTCCATACCTGAGCTGTCACCTCATTAGGAGCCAGGCAGTGCTGCCTGGCTGGAGGCATCCCGGATATGTGCAGTGCAGAAGATTTCAGAGAGAGCTTTTGCAGCCCTCATTACCTATGAGAGGAGAAGCTTTTCATCTCCAGAGCTGTTTCTTCAGCTCTTTTCAGCAGCATGAACTACGATAAACATGTGGGTGGAAAACCACTGAACAGAAGTAATTAAGTGGCTCCTGGTTAGCTGGAGCTCACTCTACATGGTTGAGGGGCCCTGCATTAGTGTGAGTCAGGGAGTGCTATTCCTCAGCATCCTTCTCCCTTTTAATGCTTTCAAACTGTGTTTACTTCTTTCTTTTAAACTGATTATTGAAAAGGCTGTTGTTACCTTGTATGTGCCATCCTGAGGCCATGGTTAAATGCCTGCCCTTCTTGGCATCAGGACACAGAGGATGGGCAGGGGTCAGGTAGGGTAAGATTTCTGTGTGTTAATGGGATCAAACATGGAAATATTCCTTCTTTTCATCTTGCCAGAATCAGTTCAATCTGGAAAAGTTACATATTTCTTCTTAATGTTGTATAAATACTAGATTGCACTGCAGCAACTATGTGCTACCTCACAAGAAGTGGAGTGCTCTGTATTGAAATGGGTTTTCAGAAAGAAACTAGTGGAGAAAAAGAAGGATGAAGTAATAAAACTTCTCACTGTGTGACTTTGAGAAGACCAAGTTCTGTTCAAACTGCTCTTTCCTTCTGAAACAGCTTTCAGCAAGTGGAGTTGGGATGGGAGATGCAGAGATGTCTGTGTCCCCAGGAGCAGTGGCTTTGTGGGATGGTCTGAAGCACAGACCTCTCCCCCTCTTGGCTCTGGAGGGCACCTGGAAATGTCCACCTTTCTTCTGCCAGTCTGGGCACAGGGAGCACTGCAAGTGCAAGGAATGAACTTCCAGCCAATCATTTGCTTCCCAGTCTGATTAATGGGGGGTTAATTTGGGTGTTGTCATCTATCTTGCTACAAAAATATTCCATTTATAATCTCTCCAGGAAAAAAAAAAAAAAAACAAACCACAAATCTGGTATTTTCACGTTCCAGTTACTGGTTTCTAAATCCCCTTTGCTTTGCCACCTTTCTGCCTCACTGAATGGAGGGTTGCCAGACTGGCGTGTATCTCTCTGGGGCCTGCTGCCCACATAGCAGGTAGCACATTCCAACTCAGAATAGCAGAGTAAGAGTTTGTAAGAGTGCAGGTCAGCTTGGGCTGGCAGGGAAAGAGGTTTGTTTGCTTTGTGTGTTGCTGTATGAGAGTATTTGACAACGAAATAAAGCTCAGTATGAGTAATTTCCATTTTAAGCTCATAGTTATGTATAAGACTGCAAAAGGGGAAAAAATTGCCAAATAATAGCTGAGACATATCGCTGAATTATGGATATTGGCTTCTGTTTAATTACTTGCAGACTGCACCATCCTTCTGGAAAGGCAACTGCAGGACTTTCTGTAGCACTGTTCAGCTTGCCTGCATCTGGCAAATGTCATTCTTTGGGATTAGAAAGTAAATTATTTTCCATCACTTCCACTGCTCAAAAGAAAAGAGGGAAAAAAAAAAAAGCTTTTTTTTTTTCCTATCTGGTGCTTTGCATCACTAAGAGGAGCATAACTTTGGAAGCTCTCTCATTTTTCTGCTATGCTGTTAGTGCAGGAACTTGGTACAGCTCTGTGCTAAGCCCGAGGTCACTGCTTTAGAGTGACATTAAAAACGAATTAATAGGGATGCTCTGGGTGCTTTAGGATCTGTTCCTCTCACCTCCCTTGCACTGCAGCACTAGGGGAGCACATCTCAGCATGTGGGGCCAGCAGGACTGAAGTCCCCTTGGCCTGTATATTCTGGGAAGTCACCATGCGTGTGTGGCTGTCACAGCTCCATCCAAATGTCCCTGTATCACACACACACACACACACACACACACACACACACACACACACACACACACACTGCCATCAGGCTTTTCTGAGAACTGTATTTCTTTATTTTTTTGAGGTGGACTCCCGAGGATGAAGGAAGGGAAAGCTGTAATCACAGCTGAAGTCACGGGTGTGTGATGCTGATGGTATTAAAAGAGCTGAATGGAACATGAGCTTGAGAAGAGGCTGCAGAGCTTGAGATCAAAACATAAGAGGCATGGAAAACGTGTAAGAGGTTAGCCTTACGTGCAAAAAAGGAAAGGGGAAGGAAAGAAACCATATTACAATAGCTTTATTGGTCACTTATTAAATTGTGAGATAAATCACACTTGTAATTTAAAAGAAGTATTTCTGTATTCTTGCTGGGAGGACCTAGTTCACACTAGCTGTAAATGTGTTAGGACAGAAAAATCAAAGTGCTCAGATGCTGTGAGGCACTCCCATCGGATCGCAATGCCTTTTTGAAGCAGTAATTCAATGATTGATCAGAGGAGATCTAATTAGCTAACCACATTAAGTGGAAAAAGCAGCACCACGAAGAAAGCCGTGATGCTCTGGGTTGATGGATCTTTGCTCTGCTGCGTGGTGGGGGTGTCTGATGGAAAAGGCAAAGCTTCATTCAATAGATGACCTAAAAATAAACCCAAAGATTAAAAGTTCCCTTTGTCTTTCTGCCCTGCCTTTCCCATATTATTGCTCTGCATGCTCTGAGATGTTTTAGGGAGCGCATAGACCCTATTTGTCACTGACATATTCAGCATTCAATTAACTGCTTAAATCTAATATTCACCCACACACGAGCTATGTGTGGGTGAAATTTAGGTAGGAATGTTACCTTAATAAAGTACCTTCTATTCTTGTTTCCTATTTCAAATATTTTCCTGTCTGCAAAGGCTGGGTGAGCTCAGTCATGTTGGAAATGATATTCATGAACGTGTGGTGCAGCTCTGGTCTGAGCTCACAGCCCCCTTCTCCCATGGGGTGTGTGACAGCAGTGTGACCTGCAACGTGCCAAATGGGAGACGTGACAAACACGAGGCCAAATATTGTTCAGTGGGATTGATGAGCACTTTGGCTTCTAAAAGGATATAGAGATCAAGCACACGTTTTGCTTGCTTGACAGCCTTTGGCCTTAAATGCAGAGAGATTGATGTATATCTACAGCAACTCAGGTTCTCCATCAGAGCCTGTTTAGGCTGACTGCTCTTTTGCATGTCTTGTGCTCTGCAGTGTGGTTCTCCATCTCCTGGAGACCAGGTTGGTTTCTCAAGCTTACAGTATATTCCATGGCAAGATGTTTAGAACCAGATGAAGTCAGTCCTGTTGGATGGGAGGAGAAGAGGCTTTGGAAGTCTTGTGAAGTGTCAGATATAGCTCTTCATGGAGAGCTCCATTAATTTTTACATTGCCCCTCACTGCTTTGATTCGAGGATGTTGCAGAGAGAAATACATTCTATCTCCCAGATCTTACACGTAAGTGAAGAAACTTCAGTTGAAAAAGGCCAAAAGAAATGAGGCAACTACTTCCTAAAGTACTGCTTGAATGCTCCCACCAAATGAGCCTGTGTGACTCACCTACCCCACACAGTCTGGCCCAGAGCTACCAATCCTTGCTATTTCTTGGGTCAGTTTTGTGCTGCTTGTTGTCGGTGGTAGGTAAGATGCATGCTGTATCAAAGTTACTCCATGTTTTTTTATTCCAAAAGGGTAACCTATATACAAATAACAGAAATATTTATAGCTTTGTCCTTGAGATGTTTTTGTTGTTCAGTGTTTCGGAAGTTTCTCCGTGGGGAAAAAAGATGCTTCCATATAAAATGATATGTCTGCAGAGCTTGTGAAATACTGTGCTACTCTTTGGAGCGTGCCAACATCCTTCTGAGCAGAAACCTCCCCAGCACCTTGCTGTGGGTATGGTAAAAGCAAGCTACTGTGACTTTTTATTGCCTCTGCACACAGGTCACCCTCGGTTGCTTCCCTTTTTCTCCTGATGAGTTACTAGCTCAATGAGGTGAAGTGCTATAGCCATCAGAAATTGGACAGTTGTTCGGCTGCACAGCTGGTAAGTTACCTCAGCAGATTACCTCCAGCTAACGGGGGAAAAGCTTGAGGTTGTTTATGAGAGTTGTTTGCTCAGGTGCTATAGCGTTGGTCTTTAAAGCTGACAAGAAAATCTGTAATAATGGAGTCTTTGGAGAAGTGTCTGTTTCTGAGCTTCAATTAATGCTTTGTTTAAAAAGCTGAAGTTCTAGTTGTATTTGCAGAAAATTAAACCGAAGGTGTCTGATATATGTTGGTACAGAATCATAGAAGGTTGGAAAAGACTTCCAAGATGATCCAGTCACAGAATCACAGAATCACCTGGGTTGGAAGGGACCTCAAGGATCATGTAGTTCCAACCCCCCTGCCTAGCAGGGCCACCAAACGTGCACATTCAGATCAGGTTGCCCAGGACCCCGTCCAACCTGGCCTTGAACACGTCCAAGGACGGGGCATCCACAACCTCCCTGGGCAGCCTGTTCCAGGGCCTAACCACTCTCCTTGTAAAGAACTTCCCCCTAACATCCAACCTAAATCTTCCCTCCCTCAACTTGGATCCATTTCCCCTAGTCCTGCTGTTGTCAGCCCTTTTGAAGAGTTTACTCCCCTCCTGGGTGTAGGTTCCCTTCAGGTATTGATAGGCTGCAATGAGGTCACCCCGCAGCTTCTCTTCTCCAGGCTGAACAAGCCCAACTCCCTCAGCCTGTCCTCATAGGGGAGGTGCTTCAGCCCCCTCAGTCCAACCATTCACCTACCACCAGCATTTCCCCAATAAGCCACATCCCTCAGTACAACACTCTTTGAAAGATATTTCTCTTAATTTTATACATACATTCCTAATATGCTGCTATTCAACTTTGCCTGGTTTCTGCTGCCATTAGTTTTCTATATCAGCTGGTACTCCATTAAACTCTTCCTGTATCTCAGTTCTTTGGAGCATAAGAGTCTTTCGGAAGGGTAGGAGTAGGAGAATGTTGGCAAAGTAATTGTGTTTATAAAACAGAAACATTGTGTTCGTCTTTATTTACAATTATTGTAAGTGGAAATGGATCTATTACTTGTGTTTCCTGAAATTAGATATCCCTCATTCAGACACCTGAAGACCCATTATCAATGCCATAATTTTTGTTTCGCTTTGTTTGTGGGAGAGTAAATGCCCTTTATTGGCCTATCTCGGAAATAGCATCTCATTAGTTGGGAACTGATTTAGAATTCTTTTAATTCCACATATCACTAAGGCATATATGGCACTTCCAGGGGAAATCAAACCATGTGGAAACAATAAAGACTGGCAATTACGTCTGATCAACAATAATAATCTGGTGTCCAGGGAAAAAATAATGACGTATTTTTGTATTGCAACCCATCAACATGTAGCAAAATGGCAGTTTTGCATTTTTGACCCGTTAGAAAATTACCAACAGGCTTTTTGTTTGGAGGGGGTTTGGATGAGGGGGAGGTGAAAAGGCAGACAGCGGTAAGGACTTGCAGCAGATTCTGATTCTTTATTTTGTTTGACCCGACTTAACAAGCTTCCTCTGTTGAAATATCACAGCCTATGTTGGGAATTATGTCAGGAAGCACAATATGTGCAGTGTGGGTGAGTGAGCTTGCATAAACTGTCAATGAAGATCAATTATAGGAATTATTGAATTGCACGTTAGAAAAGTAGCAGATGACTTTTTGCATGCATGCAAGCGCAGTGTTGGCTATTTTTGTCTAAATTAAAATATAGCCATACAGGCAGTGAGAATTTGTCACTAAGCATCACAAGCTGCCCAGGTTTATTGATTGTTTTTTACAACTGAAGTCCTGCAGTCCCGTGGTTCTGGCATGAAGCACTGAGCAAACGATGCGAGAGAGCATCGATCCACCAACAGCCCACAGCTTATGGGCAGCTTGGGCAGAAGTGGCTCCTGACAAGAGAGTGGACAGGGAAGAAAAATGTTATTTAGCAGCTGCCATTTTCTGATCTGCTGGGACTCCTGATAGACGCAGTGTGCCTTCCTCTTCATACCACGGCTGGGTGTTGCACGTGAGGGTCCATGAAGCAGGCTTTTTATGCCTCTGGTGATTTATACATATCCTGTTCATTGAAAGTTGTTGAAAGTCTGGATGGTGTTTTTGCCCAGGAGGTGGGAAGAAGGGCTGAGGAACCACCATCCTTTAGCACTCGCATGGTGGCTGCTGTTGGCACTGCCAGCATTGCTGTGGTTGTGCTGCCTTGCTGAGGAATCCCAGCTTGAGAAAACAGAGGAGCAGTAGATTTAAGAGCTCTTTTCAGCAGAGGAATAGCTGTGCTTACTGACAATAACGAGGAGATGGATCATCTTTTGTTATTGGCACACTAAGAGGCATCCCAAAGAAACCCAGAATACTGAGAGGATAGAGGACAAACGGACTATACAGCCAGCATGAAAACACTCTTATTCCAGCATCTTGTGTTCTAAAGCCTTCATCTCCAAATACCTGTTGCTGTTTTCATGGTGGACTGAGTTAATGCAGAACTCAGCATTCCCCACTGTTTTCCCTGCTGCCTTACGGAGGATTTTAAGTAGCAGCCGGTGGTCAGCATTAAAAAGGTTGCTGGCAAATCACAGTCTAGAACTTCCTGTCATTTTTGTCATTTTGAGGTTGGCTGTTGCACTTTTTTCTAGTAATTGTTGAATATGAAATGCTGACTGACTTCTATTTCATGATCATAAGGTTTAATGAGCGTATTATTTAATATGGCCCAAGAAACCTGCACCTCTGTCTTTGTTCCCAAGAAAGTAATTGCTATGAGCTGTTTTTTCACCCTCTGGAACAATTCATAAATGTGGTTTCTGATCTATTTCAAATTCCAGAGTGTCAGTGCCCAGGACTTTCCATTGCTCTGAGGAAAACTGGATGGCTGAGTGATGGAATGAGTGGAAGGTGGAACATATTCTAGTTCCGTGCTTACATGATTCTCTCAGTTACAGAGGAATTTGAAACACAAGCATAAAAACACCTTTAATTAAACACTAATTTTTAAGACCTAAGGAAGGAAGTCCATCTGCAGTGCTTTAAGAAAAGTAGTCCTCATTCTTTTCTATCGAAGAAACATTCGTTCCACAGAAACTCTTATCTGGAGTTTCCATTCTTCTTTCAAAGCCAGTATTTTAATATTCACCCATCTGTTAAAAATGGCTAGATGCAACTTCTTGGAAGACTGTGAACACTGCAACCATCTCCCACCATTTATTTTTTCCCTCTCCATTTGGTCTTGTAGCCAAACAGCAAAGGAAATGTAGAAGTGTAAGAAAGCAACATGAGCCAGGCCAACAGCAACTTGACCTGCAGCACAGCCTGCAAATGTCATTCAATCCCTATTTGAACATTAAGTTGTCTCACCCTTTGTCACTGCTTTCTCTTAATCCTCTGTCATCACAATTCTTATAATGGAAAACTGCTTAAATATCAGAATTCCACAATAGTTACTGTAAAATATTTCTTGGCCTTCAAGCAAACAGTATAGAACTAATTCTAGAAGAATTAAATAAAGTAACATGTAGGCTGCCATGGCTGATTTCTTCAAGACAGGAATGAACACACCCACTCAGAGCAAGAACATCTTAAATCTGTAAAGTACCAAAATCGTGATTCCAAATTAAAAAATAGACAGGCAGTCAGAACTGAATTCCTTCTAGTCTTACCTGGAAGAGTCTTTCTACATTAAAGCTGTCATTGACACATCTGATGCTCTTATTTTTGCTCTGAACTACTGCTACTGTTGCTCTTTCATACTCTGTTCAGGCCTGCCACCATCCTGCACAGCTGCTGTGCACAGCTTGTTGTTTACTGCAATAGCTGGAATAAATATTTGAAAGCTTAAAATCAGAGCTTCTTTTAAGTTCAGTTGTAAGAGTAAGTCAAGTCTACCATTATATCTTAGATTTATTCACCACAATTAGTAACGAGGCACTTCAAAAGAGTTTGCATAACTTTAGCAGGCTTACTTAAGTACTAAAATAGGTTGTTTCTTTTTTTTTTTTTTAACTGATGCCTCAGTCTGAAGGTATCTGTTATATTACAGATGTAAGTGAGTAGTTTTGCTTTGCTTTTACGTAGCAGGCCTTGGAACTCCTCATGCATCCATCAAACCCAGTGTATTCCATGAGACTCCAAACAGTAACCAGATCCATCCTCTCCAAACTCACAGTGGGACAGCAATGCATGACTCGCTTTCAATGCCACCTCCCTAACAGCTAAATTAATTCTCATTCTTCCTTTCTGGAAGTCGGCCACAAAGGTTTATGGGGATGTGTGGTTCTGCTGCTCATCAGGGTTGGATGTGGCGATGTCTGTTTGGCTCACTTCTGTTTCTGCCTGATCTCAATGATAGAGGTCAACTAAGTGTGAGCCTGCTAATGATATCAAGGCAGAATTAATCTTTTGGGGGTGCTTTCCCTTGATGGTGGTCAGAATTCCAGTCTCTGAATATAGCACATGGACTGGATTGAGTCAGAACTTCTTTCAATACAAATCAGGACCACATGAAGGTGAGGGATGCCAGGTTTCTGAATGGAAGCACAGCATGTGGCACTGAGGCACTTATCACCATCCCACAAGCAAGTAAGTTATTGTTGTGGTGTCTTTCACGTGGATTTATTGATTTAGGGCAAGGAAAAGTCTTCCTTTGAACCACCAGAATTCGTTTGTCTTAGGAGCAATTCAAGGTTAAACTGCTAATCAGTTTTAACTGTGCTCTCAACTGAATTTCATACCTCTGTGATAAAGATAGTTCACATTTTCCTTTGGAATCTGGGTAAAATATAATTGGTATGACCACTGTGTACACAATTACTGTATTTAAATTCTAGCATAATTATTTTGTTGCAACCTGCAATTTCCTGATGATAAGCTGTACCTGTATTGTTTGAGGCTTTATCTTCTAAAAGAGCTCAGTATTGCCTTATTTTCCACGTCACAGAAAGTATGCAAGTGGTTCTTTAGCTCCACTTAAACCAAAACAGCATGTTTATTGTAATTGCTTGGATGCTTTGTCAATTTTGCTTTAATTAAGACCCTGTCACTTGTTGCTCTGCAACACACAATTCCCATTATGTCATGACAAATTTAGTTTCCAGCTATTGCAGGGGGTGCTAATGTGAGCACATCAATATTCATGTGTCTTGACAGATCGTGAGCTTTAATAAATTGCTTTCCATGGGATAATTTTTTTTTTTTTAAATCAGGGGTGTTCCCATAATAGCACAAAAGGAAGCCTGAGGGATGACAAGGATAATTTGCTTTTCACCGCATCTAAAAATTAATAAATTATTTATCCTCTAAGTAATGATATACTTGTTGTATGATAAACACGTGAAAGGATGTGGAGGACAAACGATGAGAAAGAAACAGCTTAATTTCATGTGGCTAAAGGTGCTTTTGCTTCTGATGTTCCCAGGTGTGCTCCTTTCCTGCAGTCTCTCATTCTTGCCTGCCCTAAGGAGAAACTTCTGTGCTCTTCTGCCTCCACTGCTGGGACCCGACTGTGCCATCCATACAGTGACAGAGTAAGGTACAAGGGCTGCTCTGAAAGTAACGCCTCCTACTTTATGCTGTTGGCCCACAGCGTCAGAGGCAGATGTTGGTGGTGCAGCAGCAGATGCTGAGCCTTCCCACCAATATCCCATTGCATTCTGCTGCTGCGTGGCAGATGGGAGCAGAGGAGCAGTCTGACAAAATGCTGTCTGACATGGAGGTGTATGAAAAAAAAGCATGGAATAAAGTTTCTCCATGTGAGAAAAAGGCACCTGCTGACATCCACTGATGCTTGCTGAGTGATTATGGAGGTCTGCCAGTGTGTGTGAGCACAGGGAGGTGGTGCATTTCAGCAGTGTGACAGTGGGTCATGTCCGTTGGTGCAGATGTTTATGAGTGTGACTTGTAGATTCATTGTCATCACTGGTGAAAATACACGGATAATGGTGGTGACTATTGAAAAACAGTGTTTTGTAGCTGAGAATTAGCTTTATAAGTAGTGCTACTGTGCTCTTTTTTGTAGTTCCTATGGAAATAAACAGGAGGCATTACTTTCTGAGCAACCTACATATAAGATGTTCTTTTCTCTACGAACGTGAGACCTCTTTTACAGTTTTAAGGCAGCAGTTGTGCAAAATACCTCCATGAAGCTTTACTGGAGTAATAGTTTCCTTTTAAGAAAAAAAAATCTGACACCATCAGATTTGGCGTAAGAGTTCTCTCATTTCTCATTTAATTTCATCCAACACTAAAATGAAGTACATTTAGGGCTGAACAACACTCAATTGAGTGCAGTTTGGGGAGATTCCCACTGGGCTACTTAAAGTAATACTGCTAAATCATTCAGTGGGCAGGAAGGAGAGGTACAGGTCACACCTTGGCTTCGAGATGAGAATCTAGCAATAGATTTGAATACAAGTTGTGGTCACACAACTGAATGGGAAAGTGCTGATCAGTGTAACTGCAAAGTTACAAAAGATGCTCTTTTATTTCACCATAAGAGGTGCATTTAACCACAAGAGAGATGTGAAACTTGTAGCCAAGAGTGAGGCTCAGGAATAAGAGGACAAAAGTTTAAGTGTCTTTTTAGTATAAAGTAGCAGCAGTAAAGGATGCTTTCCTGAGCACTGTACAGACTTTACTCTCTATACAAGTGCCTCACGAATTTTGGCTTTTAACCTTAGAAATCCCCTTTTTCTCTATTAATCACTTGCTCACAGACTGATTGCTTGACAGTAGGGACCACACTCTTCAGAGAAGAGTAGGCCAGCATTGCTTGGAATATTGGCTGCAGGTCTAAGATGCAGGTATTCCTTGTTATTCTGAGATCCCCATGTAGCTTCCTTTACAAATGCTTTGGTTGCCTATAAAAAGGATTGTTGGTGACTCTGTTACCGTTTCATTTTGGGCACACCAGAACAGCACGGTTCTGTTTTGGCTTTAAAGGGAGATTCAACATAAGGCTGTAATGTTAGAGCTTGGTGGCACGGACAACCACCGAGTGCTGTTTGGAGGATTGGGTGTGAAGAGCATCATGGGTATCTGTTTGCCTTTTATTAAATAATTAAGAATATAGATGATGGCTATGTAACCTGTAGGAAGGCTACCGTGTTTATTTAAAACATTACTTTAATGGATTCTACTTGTGTAAATATAAAGAAAACTGAAACATTGTAATACAAAAGTAATGAAGATAAACTTTGGTAATACGTGAGCACATTGCTAATGCAAACAAAAAAGGCCTTCAGTATTTCAGTCAGAATAACCTTGAAGAATATTATCAGATGTACCTCGGTATCTAATTTCTAGTGGACGTGTAGGGAAGAAACACCAAGAAAACCATATAGGTGTCCTAAAGTTTCATTTCCTTTCTGCTTATCCTAGGAGAATAATTGCAGAGTGGTCTTCCAAAAATTACAAAGAGGAAATTAAAAGTACTGCAGAGGAAAGACAATGTCATTGTTTTCCTAGTGATTATTTCTCTTTGCCTTCCTAGGCTTCTCTGGAGGGGATGTTACTTGCCTCTTCCATTGCTGTTATTCTTCAACATGTACTGTGCAAATACGTATTTTTCCTACAGGTGTGCATGACTGTCACAGCTGAGGTGGATATTTTGTAATAGTCTGTGAAAACAAAGTGGAAAAAATGTGGCAAGGAGCTAAGCATTATTTAGATCCCAATAATGAAAGGTGAGAGCTGCTCATTATTGAGGGTTGAAGACAGACAGGAGGAGACAGATGAGCTAAGTTCAAAGCGTTATTTTGATGCAGAAAGTGGTTACCCAGCTGTGCTCAGGTTAAGGCTAAGGAAAAAAAATAGATCTTGGTTTATTAAAATACCTTTTAATTACTGTTGGGTTACGGAAAAGCCTAGAGCTAAGATGGAATAATATACATATTAAAATATTTTTATAGAGATCAGCTGGGTTTAATGCCAGCCATAACATTTAACGATAACAAAAAGTCTCTGAAAAACTTGATTTATTTATTTGATCCATGTTCTCTGGAAGCTTAGATTGCAAATTGACACCAGCCAAAATAGATGGAGTAGCACTAAGATTGGAAACAGCAGATTTCTGAGGTAGGACAAGAGAGAGGAGTTTTTTCACCACACTCAGCTCCTAGAATTGTGATGCATGAGCCTTCTTACTACCTTCTAGCCATTGGTAAGTCTTAGGAAGTTAGCTTGCAGGGAGCAGTCACAAGTGACTTGCTGCTCCATAGATGAAGGCACTTAAGAATGATGCTGCTGAACACACAGAAGTTCACAGACAGGTGTTGTTAGGGATTTGGCATCTCCCTGTCCACTAAAATGTGGCTATGCTAGTTTGGATGAGAATGAGCATCAGGTTCTTGGTGAAGAGTTAGCATAGTTGCTTGTCTGATCTTCTGCTTTTATGTATATGCAACATAGTCACCTTGGCACAGTACACAACAGCACGAGGGAGGAAATTTTGGCTGAGGAATTAAAGGGGAATCCCTACTTTTATTAAAAAAACAAAAAACCAAACAGATGGTACCCAGTTCAATGCATGGTGAGATGTTGAAACACGTTGAGCACCATACTGGGACCTGGTTAGCAAAAATCATAGAGCTGTTCACTGTTTGTTTTTGATCAACCTATTCATTTAATTGCAGGGAATAACCCCTTGTTTTGTACAATTGCAGGCTTCCTCATGATCCTTCAAGTGAAGTGAGGTTACTCACTGGAGTAGCTGATGAGATCAAGAAGTGATGTGTAACTTTGCTGTTAGGCATAGCATACTGATTGCCTGTGCTCAAAAATCAGAAGTATGAAGGAAATCTCACTCAGAGACTTCAGGTTTCCTTTAAGTCGGAGACTTAAAGGAAAACGAAATACATGTTGGCCTGAAAGGGAATGTATTTTTCACCTGAGATTCCAGAAATGGGTTTAATTACTGAAATTGCACTGCTTTTCTCTGTCTCCTCAACACCCTTCATCACTTCATC